CTTGTTTGATTGATTTTTCAAAAGCGTTCGATTCCGTTAACAGACAAAAGCTCTGGCCCCGATTTCTGGAAACAAACTTAAGTTTTTACTCAAATTTTAAACTGAGTTGGACAATTTGAAACAGATGAATTTTAAACTCAACTGCATTTTTGAAATGAAAAAGCCCAAACTACTTAAGTAATCTATCCACCAAACTCAAATTATCAACTATGTTTGAGTTTAATATCGATTTTAGTTCATTCTGGGAAATGCATTTTCTCAAATTTGAGTAAAAACTCTAACTTAAGTCGAAACTCAGACTTAAGTTTGTTTCGAAAAATCGGGGCCTGGTATCTATTTAAAAAGAATGGACTAGGTTAAAAAATGGATAAAGTGTTGCGATCTGTGTACCAAAACGTGAAAGCATGTGTGCGTACATCGAATAACGTAAACACAGAAGTATTTGAATGTCCTCTAGGGGAACGGCAAGGTTGTGTTCTTAGTCCATTTCTGTTCTCATTTTTCATTAAATAATTGGTCGATGAAATCACGTCCACTTGTACAAATGGCGTTCAAGTATTCTCTGACCTACTCGAGCTGTTTCTTCTTTTATTTGCTGATGACGTTGTTCTGTTTTCTGATACGGTAACAGGAGTCCCAAAACTTATTGATATTTTAGAGAATTACTGCGAAACATGGAGTCTCCAAGTAAATTTAAACAAGACAAGTATTTTTGTATTTAAACATGGGGGCAGACTTTCTAGAACAGAAAAGTGGACCTACAAACTTGCTCCAACTAAAGTTTCATCATCATACAGATACCTTGGCATGCTATTTACAAGAAATATCTGACTCTGAAAGCTAAGAAGGCTCTTATAACCGTTCAGTGTAGCTTGTTTAAGTTTGAATATCTCTCGTATGAACTATATTTTAATTTTTGACCGTAAATTCCTGCCAATTCTATTATATGGTTCTGAGGAATAGGGTATTCATAGATTTAAAGGCATTGAAAAAAAATCAATTGCAAGCTTGTAAACGTTTTCTGAGCATCCACAGATCAACACCCAGTGATATTGTATTAGGTGAATGCGGAAGGTACCCAGTCTATATCTTGGCACTGAAACGTTCTATCTTATATTGGTTGAAAGTCATCTCAATGCGCCCTCACCGCTACCCCTTAAAAGCCTATAAGATGCCACGGTATATTCGTTGAAAATGCTAGCGAGGCTAGAAATAAGCACAACTAGGCTACGCTAATCAAAAAGACATTGTTTCAACTTGGTCTTGGATATGCATGGGCCGGACAGGGAGTTGGGGATGCTACAGCTTTTTATCCATTGTTCAACAACGATGTAAGGATTGCTTCCTATGGAAGCGTAGTAGGGCCACGGGGAAATTTTTTTTTGGTCTTACTATCTCCTACGTAGTACTTAATATCTCCTACGTAGGACTTAGTATCTCCTACATAGGACTTACTATCTCCTACGTAGGACTTAGTATCTCCTACGTAGGACTTAATATCTGCTACGTAGGACTTAATATCTCCTACGTAGGACTTAGTATCTCCTACTTACGACTTACTATCTCCTACGTAGGACTTAATATTTCCTGTAGGAGATGATCGATATACGTTTATCTGAAACGGTCGACTTAAATCCCCAGACACGCACACAATCTCCTGTTTCACTGTTTCAGTCACTGTAAGAGTCTACAGTCATTCATTTCATTCACTATTAGAGTCTACAGTTATGTGTTTCATTTACTGTTAGAGTCTACTATCATGTGTTTCAATTTACTAGTAGAGCCTACTGTTTCCTTCACTCTTAGAGTCATGTGTTTAACTAATTGTTGCACATTAGTACTGTGTTGGACCGACTGTTATACTTTACTGCCTTGCGTTCAGTTTGCTCTACTATTATGCGTTCTAGTTAGTTCACCGTTATATGTTGCACTTTGTTACATTTTACTATTATGCATTGGATATTTCAGAGGTCGTTGCACATGAATCATATCTGCGTGTACAGACGTGTCTTAGACTATCGGTGGCAATCTATGTGTACGTATCCCCTTATATTTATACAAATAACTATAATGACAATTCTTTGCCTTTTTGAATTTCGTATTGTTTTACGACGCATATGCAACGGGTTAATTAGTTTTCAACAGGAGATTGGCGTGCTTCGTTTGGCGAGCTGTTTCTTCACTCATTCTCATTCTTGTTTGCACTGGATCACGTCGTTTTCTCGCATGCAGTCCTCGAACGAATCCGTGTCCTTGCAGTGAAACAGGGCGACCCATCGCGTCTGTTCCAGTAAATCTTTAAGCGCCGAGTTGAATTTTTTTGTGTCAAAACCCAAACTCTGTGTTTCGTGTGTCGGCTCGAGAAGGCCAGGTACGGCAGCGCATCTCGTTTTTTAAACATCTCCTTGTTGGCGCTGCAGTCATCCAGGTTGAACAGCGTCGATTCTCCTTTCAGTTTGCCATGGTAAGCGCGTAACCAGTCCTGCAGACGAATTCCAGGATCGATTTTGTACACGTCCAGGTCCGTCATCACCCACGGTCTCTCCATGTATGTCTTGTTCACCTGTAAAGTTTGGCATAGAATGACGATGTGGTCGAACATGTCACAATAGCAGCCTTCCAGCATCCCGTCTGATCGCACACGATGGCGCAGTAGGGGATCGCTAGGTAAATCAATAAATGGCTTGCACGAATCTTCCATTGTCTATATCGAGTTGCACGGCCATAATCACGTACAAATATAAGTTTAACTTGCCAGAAGGATTTTGAGCTTTTTAGCAATTTGGATGGTGATCCCCTCGCTGCCGTTGTCGATGTGACGACCGCTGCCGTGCAGCCTGTCGTCGTCCGTGGATCGCATGTCCAGCCACAGCACGTAATGCTTATTCAGGTATTTACCGAGCATCACGTAAGTGAAACCTAGGTCTTTGGTGACGTCGTTGGCTTCAGACGAGTGTCGCTTGATGGCTGGTGTTTTTTTTATCTCATCCCACTGCTGATGAGCTCGCATGATTTGGCTGAACAGCTGGTTGGGCAAACCTTCGATGGTCACTTCCACTTACATGATCTCGGGATTCCAAGTGAGATTGCTGTTTCTTTGAAATGGCTCGTACTCCGTCATGGGAATGATCAAGATGCCTTTCATCGATCGAGCCGGCACGTTCAGGTTGATGTTCCACAGCGTGTCGCTCTTGTCCTTGACGATCGTCCGATGACATAACACGTGGTCGTACAGGATGGACAGATTTCCCGAGCACTGTTGGCGAATCTGCTGGGATAGTTCCGGGCTCGTGACCATGTCGAACTCCAGCGAGATGTTGTCGACGACGTAGCTGGCCACCGTGAAGATGACTTTGCCGTAGTTGTTGAACATGAGTTCATATCCCAGCTGTTCGCCTAGCGCAGCCTGGTAAAACGGCATGTGCCCCTCGAGCAGCTCGAAGTCGAGCGGTATGCATAACCAATTCCCGTACGCCTCGGCGACGGCTTTTTCTCCAGCCGTTATATTGCCGAGCTGGTCTTGCGTGAAACCATACCCCACACGGATTTCACGGTCTTTATCCCGACAAAGTTCTTGATACGCCATGTCATCGCGTTCGTTCGAGGTTCTCCACAGGTCCATGTAACAGTAAAACACATCGCTATCACTGATGCTCAGCACCTCATTCCCCGCTGATTTTGATAGTGGTTTTCTTGACGATTTGTCGGTCGTGGACTCCAACTTGATGTGAAAAGCCAGTTGAGTCATACCGGGGACTATGACGTCGTTCATGCCCAAGTTGGAGAATCGAACCAGCAGCGTTTGGTTTTGATCGATCGTGCTCGGATTGTTGGTGATTGACACCGATTGACGCACGGCTTTGAGACCCAGGGGTTCTCTCGATCTTCGGAAAGGATCTAGCTTTCAGCCGTATTTCGACATTGTTTTACATTGAAACTATGTATGTTATAAGTTTAATATAAAAAAAATGGCAGATGATATTCAGATGGACGGTTTGGACGTCCAGCCTCTCTGCTGAACGATGACGATGCAGCACAGGACACCTCTTGTATGGGGGATACCGTTGGCAACGAACTTTGAAAGCAGGCCGTGGACGATTATTACGATGCTTTAATGCGCTATAAAAATTACGTCAAACCATAGGGTCGCGACTATCCGAAAGTCAAAATCGACACCAAAGGGACACTGCTATTGAAAACCAAACCAGAGGTCGATCTCATGAACAAACACACGAGAAAACCACTCGCCTTGTCAACGCTCGCCAGTCGCCGTGGTGGCAATCAATTGATTTGCAACGAATTTAACCTGCGAGATTATGGCGGCGGACAACCCCAAAACCTTCCACCGAAGGTCGTCCAAGATCTGCAAAACACACGGACCGAACTCGTTGGTGCTGGCGCCGATCCCATAGAAGTATTCGAGCGTGCCAAAGAAGTGTCGGGCGAAATCGAAAAAATATTGATCACGTACTCAAACGAACCCTTGCCCGGTTTCGAATTTCCTCTAGGGAACTATGGGGTCTAGACGAAACCTTGAAAAATGTGCGTGGAGAACTCGTGAACAACATGGGTAAACTAAACGAAATCGACAAGCACATCGCTCATGAGAAAATAAAACTCATGTTCGTGGACGACAATTACGACGAAGCCATGAAAACAAACATAAAGAAAAGATTGCGCAACGGACCTGATTGGAAGCCACTTCCTCCAACCGAGATGCTTCTGATCACAGATCAGCCGTGTTCGCAAAACCATTGATGCAGTCTTGAATGAGGATACCACATTGGCCGACAGGATCCGAATTCTGTTCCGGGAACAAGGGATCACCATCGCCAGCGTTCTCACGGTTTTGGGCTTCATCATATCGACCCTTGTCGTAGGATCAGAAAACATTTGAAATTGCTCGGCGAAGCCTAGCTAAACTGGCCGGCAAAGCAGCGTAAGCGCTGCCTGGCATCTTGGGCAGCATTGTTTCCTGGTTGTTAGGCTTCTTTTCGAAAACCGTCACGTGGCTCAGTCAAAACCTGTTGGCTTTCATTGTGGCCATGGCGGGTCTGGTGTACATCGCCGCTAAGGAATTTTGAACCAAATGAGGCACAGTCCAACCGCGATTTCCCCGACCACCAGCGCCATTTTGCAATCGATGTGTTGCTGATTTTCGACCATGGCGTGTACGGATTGGTGCGGTGTGGGTGGAATGCTGGGCTCCGGCGATGGTGGTGACGTCACGATCCCCGTTTCACCGGTACTTGAGGGGGGGTGCGACGTGACTCACGTTGATATCAGGGTTGACAACCAATTTTTGATCGCTGGTCGCGATTACGTTTTCGTTGATATAGCTCACAACTTTGTGGATCCTCAGTTGCATGTCCCTCGGAGCCATGTACAACTCTACGTCAAACACGTAGTCGACTTTCGACAGGGCGTTTTGCAACACGTTTTCATAGCATTTGATGGCACTCGACTGATCGACCAGTCTGGCAATGGCATCCTCGAAGTTGGCCACGAATTGTTTCTGCGCATCGTAAGCCATCACTTTACCCACGATGCTGAAACGCGTTTGCGCTAGCGCAGCCAGCAGTGCCCACACGTACGTTCGAATTGAATCGTTCAGTCTGACAACACCAGGATGAGACAACCCTTTCGACGTATCCAGCATATATACTTTCCAATCGTCTTCAGCATATTGAGGCTGCTCCACCTTTTGAACAGTGAAAGCAACACCGCCTTCAAAATTCATACGATCATCTCGCCATTCATTACTCGGCAGAGCAAAGTCCTGTCGGAGCCAACCACTTTTCAGTAAACAATCACTGACTTCATTCACGGATTTCGCTCCTCTGCACAGAATGCCCAACCTGTGGTTCGTACCCGGTCTACGCCAATCCGTGTTCGGATCGATTTTGAAATTACCGCAAATCCGTTTGTAAGCTCACCGATCGTACGTATTGTTTACCACATTCCACGCCTTGTCCTGCGGAATCGGGGCTCTGATTCCTTTCAAAATGCATCTAATCTAGTAGTACACGTGAAACAGGAACACAGACTGACTCAGCGGACCACGACAAGTGTTGTTCAACGTCACACCGCGGCCCCTCGTTGCACACCCCACGGCAAAATTGAATTGATTCTGCCAGAACTGCATGAGGTTGTGGAACCAAGCGTGTACAGTTTTCACATTCGTGACTGAAAGCTTATACTTGTTAAATACATCGATAAATCAAGCTCAAAAAGTGGGAACCATCTGCATCAACCACAATACTCGGTTGAGTGAGATCGGTAGCACTTATTATATTATCGCTTTTAGAATACGCCAATCCGTGTTTGGTTCGATTTTGAAATTACCGCAAATCCGTTTGTAAGCTTGCCGATCATACGTATTGTTTACGGCATTCCACGCCTTGTCCTGCGGAATCAGGGCTCTGATTTCTTTCAAAATGCGTCTAATCTGGTAGTACACATGAAAAAAGAACACAGACTGACCCAGCGGACCACGACGAGTGTCGTTCAATGTCACACCGAATCTCAACATCACGCTCCGCTCTCCCCACGTTTTCACGGTTAACAAAGATCACCATCTGACGAAAGTCGTGAACAACGGAACACTGCTCGTGGCTTACGTCCCGACGCATAGTACACACCACGCTCGTAATAGATGTCTATCTCACTGAAATTTGGTATGTTCCCCCCCACCAGTAGTATACACAATAGCACAACAGGATTAGGGACTTCCCAAGACCTTAATTTGTAAAACCACATTCAGTCAGCGTTCATGTATGAGCGCTGGTGTGACATACATAAACATGTCAGGCCAGCGCTCATGTAGGAACGCCAGCATGACAAACAAATCTGACCAGTCCAGCGCTCATACATGAACGCTTGTGTGACATACATACTATGTCAGTAGAACGCTCATACATGAATGCTGGGCTAACTATGTCAGTCCAGCGTTCATATACTCTGCAAAAAAAGAAACGCACAGGTGATAATGAAATTTAAAATTAACTTTATTTTATTTCTATGCAAACAAAACCCGGTTACTTTAACCAAACATAATGTATACTTGTTCATATCCATTAAGTATCGCTCAAACACACCATTTCATGAAATATTGTTGTTTGATGATGGTTTTTGAAAATATCATGAAATTTTCACGTGTAAATGACACTTCGAACGATATGCACGTGAAAGTTGCTTCACCTATGCACCAGTGTGTAGGGTATATGAGGAAGGCAGTTTAACGTGTTCAATTCACTTTCAACGCCAGTTTACTGACGAATTCAACATGCCACGACTGAGCGAAGCTGACCGGAACATCGCCATCGGACGTCTTGAGGCTGGCGAATCTCAGTCATCAGTTGCAAGACACTTCAACATGCATCACACAACAATTTCCCGTTTATGGAGGCGCTACAATCAACTGGGCTCGACCTGCGACCGACCTCGGAGTGGTAGACCACGGGTAACCAATGCTGCACAGGACCGCTACATCCGGGTGTTCCATTTACGTAACCCGGGCCGTCCCAGCAACACAAACAGCAGAGAACGTCCCAGGTCTTCGCCGCGTCTCCGCCCAGACCATCAGAAATCGCCTCAGACAGCACGGGATACGCCCTCGACGACCTCACGTAGGATGCACACTACGACCTCATCATCGCCTGGCACGTGTTCGATGGTGCAGGAACGTCCAGAGATGGAATTGGAGACATTGGCAGCGAATTTGGTTCAGCGACGAATCTCGTTTCCAACTTCAAAGACACGATGGTAGGACGAGGGTCTATAGACGGAGAAACGAACGTTACGCCCGTAATTGTGTAGTTGAAGCGGACAGATTTGGAGGGGGAAGTGTGATGGTATGGGGGGCCATTTCTTACAACGGGAGAAGTGACGTCCGTGGTAACCTGACTGCAATTCGTTACAGGGATGAAATTCTGCAACGTCATCTTTTACCTGTCATCAACCCTCAACGTCACGTTTTCCAACAGGACAACGCCAGACCGCACGTGGCTCGCATCACGATGGACTACCTGACGAATCAGAACATCACAGTTCTTCCCTGGCCTTCAAAATCCCCCCGATTTGAACCCAATAGAGCATTTGTGGGACCAGCTTGGGAAACGCGTTCGACGTCGTCAGCCTCAACCCCAAACGTTGCAACAACTGTCTCAAGCCTTGCAGGAGGAATGGAGGAGGATCCCCCAAGCACGGATTCAAAGACTGATCATGTCCATGGACAGGAGGTGCCAAGCTGTGTTGCAAGCTCGAGGTGGTCACAACAGGTACTGACCTCCACGCCATCTGTACGCCCGGTGCAATGGTTTCAGAGACAAATGATAGCTGCATGTTGTAAAGCTGACTCTTGACAACATCCATGTGAAATTTTACGTTCGTGCGATCATTAGTTAAAGTTTTATTTGGAAACAAAATAAAGTGTTTACATTCCTGAGTTTTCACCTGTGCGTTTCTTTTTTTTGCAGAGTATACATGAACCCTGGAGTAGTATACACAATAGCGGAACGGGACTTCCAAAGGCCATAATTTTCCCGAGCCTTTTTCCCGACCGACCCTCACTCAAAAGGCAATATTTCAGAAACTATTGCACTGATTTTCATCAAATTTTAGCATGCACCTCAGTAGTAGTATACACACTGGATGTACGATTATAGGGACTTCGCAAAGGCTCAATTTATAAATTGAGCCTTTGGGAGGACCTGTAATAGATAGATGCTCATGCTGTTGATCACTGGAATTTCCGGACGAGACTCGAGTATTTACAGACCGACGCAATAAAGCTGGAATATTTGGTGTATTCTCTTTTTGCCTGCACTTTAATTGGCTTTAAGCGGATTAGGATTAACAGTCCAGTGCCTGCACAATTATAGTCTGTTCAAGTAAGTGGAGTTCACTACCGGCACCTTGAAGAAAGAATTGACCTTGAGAAACATAGACTCTTGACTAGTCTCACCACTTGTTTATGTTGATACCGTTTCTCATCTTATAATATAAATGCACAGTGCACATAAATACTTTTTCCTGGTTTGACATATAACGCTTATTTTGTGTATTTGCTGATTTAAAATTTCATCATATTTGTCAGATAATTCATTTTCGCATATTTGTATACATGCAATATTAGTAAAATTAAAAATGTCACCATATTTTCAAATGACTCATATTCGTAAGTATGCGGGTGCTATATGCAGTGAACAAAATGTGATCAACTTTACTGTTTACCGGTATCCTCCCATATGTTACACATGCCAGCTGTTACACACCCCAATACACATAAGGTCACAGACCACTGCACACACCTATTACCTATTAGTGAAGAATGGGACAGTCCATACTCGTTTCAGACATAGAAAGAGAATTGATTATCATTACATATCATTTTATAGCATTTTATACGCATTTGTTTGCAAATCCATGTATATGAAGTTCATCATTCTTCGATGTCTTTTATCATTTATTTCTAAACCACTGATTGAACTCAGCACATAGATTTCACATAACAAGAGTCTCAACCAAGCTTAATCAAATGTCTGTCATGTTGTGGACTTGTTGTGGAGGAATCCTTCAAAAAGAACTTGTGATCTGCCTCACAGCGATGTGACATACTTTGTATACCAGCCATGGTTAATGTGCAAGTTGTTGTTATTTGTTTTATTTAACGTCGCAGGCACAACTAAAGTATTTCGGCGACAGGGTAGTACACTTATTTTAAGAAATGAGGGGGAACCAAAAATAGAAATTTTGAAAGAGCGGTGTTACTACCCAAAAAGACCAAACACACACACACACACACACACACACACACACACACACACACACACACACACACACACACACACACACACACACACACACACACCACCCCCGAAAAAAAAAAAATTAAAAAAATAAATAAATAAATAAAAAACAGCAACTGAGTATTACTGAAAATTTGAATGAGAGGTCGAATTGAAAAGGTAAAAAGTATAGGGATTTGGAATTTAATATAGATGGTGTGTAATAAATGGTTATTGTTATTGTTATTGTTTTTTGTTTTGCTTTGTGAACCAACCCATGTTTAAAAACATATTTATTAGGTGAATAATGGTAAACATACAAAAGAATAAAAAATGAAGTTGATAAAAAGAGAGAACTGATTTGAAAGTTAAAAGAACATACTTATAACACAATGTGCAAGGGTCATCCCATTTATAGTAAATGATGTATTTTCTCTGTATAATTGAGTTAACTCTACTACTTAGTTAATCCTGCCTTGAGGCGAAGAAATCATCTCCAGAAAAAAAACTGAATGTTAATATTAAAAGCTAACTATAAAAACATCTTTAATCAAACAAACATTCCTTGAGCAAAAAAACATCAAAACTGCTTGCTCTTAATCCCTTTGATCCACTTGACAGTTCAGCTGCTTTACTATACAGAGCAGTTTGGGCTGGTCCATTATTGTTGTAGGTATAGCAGTAATTAACCCCCAACCTGACTGTGTAACAACTGGCAATATCAGTGTGTGTAATAACTGGCATATGTAACAAATGGGAGACAACCTGTTTACCTGCAAGTGCTGGCATACTTACATTTCTACTACAGACTATAGCTTCAATCCCCATTGTTGCGAGGACTAGTACGGTCCAGTAATTTTAATCCTTAAACAATAAGTGCAGGCAAAAATACTAAACTGTTTTATTCAGATTCTCATACGTATTGTAAATAATGACGGTTTATTACATTACAAGGTCGTTCTTCTTATACCATTGGTTCAAGATGTATGGCTCCAAACCCTAGCTGATATGCCGCAAGGCGACTGATGTCATCAATGGCCGACTACGTCACCACCACCTGGATCGAAGGTAGTCTCCCGTAGGGGGTGTCGCGATACGCGAATGTATGGATGCATCGATACATTTTTACTGACGATACGATACGCGATACATGCTTGCTTGTATCGATTCCTATTTTAAAACTTTATCGATTCAAATTTTTATGCTATATACATCTCCTTCAAAGTCTTGATAGTAAAATTATACGAGACCGCTCCGATAAATAGATGTAGATGGCTATACTTAAAAAATAGGTTGGAAACTAACAGCTTTTGTGATTGGCTAGACTATTTTGATGGACCAATCAGCGAGCGCGTACGTTGCCGGTAAGGTAATGCTATGAAAAGGCGCGAAAATTATGTATCGTGATACGTATCGTATCGTGACCTTAAAATCGTGATACGTATCGTATCGTGAGATTGGTGTATCGTGACACTCCTAGTCTCCCGATGACATCATGGAACCATTACCTGACCCTCGGCCAAAAAAAACAACAACAATTTGGAGGGTTGGCATGGGCGAGTTAAGAAACTTGTCGGGAAAGCCCATCCTAATGTATTCGAGCTGATTCGCTTCTTGTTGGATGGTTCAGTACATGGCAGGGCAACGCCTCCAACCCAAAAAGAAACGGTACCAGGACCGGCAAAGAAAGCTGGATGACCTGAAAACCAGGCTGGACTCCCAAGACCTCGCCGTCTTCGACTACGCTGTCAGAGCATCTTATGCTCTTAAACTTGCTTACATATTGTGACTTGTACATTGTTAAATGAGTATATGGTTAGAATATGTGTCCATTTAGTATTTCCAATCTATAAAATTAATCTAGTCATCTGTATATATGTGTAATAAGTAAGAATATTTTGTCCAGTTTTTAATCAATGTAACATAACATGATATACATCAAATATATTTTAACATAAAAGTGGCGATCTGCGGGTGTGTGTGCTTATATATGTATGTTGCGTAAATATGTACAATATGTGAACAATTGAATATCAGTATCCTTGAATAAAATATCTTAACTTAATAGTAGTTTGGTTTTCAGCTTGTTCGAGATAATGCCTTCGTCCTCATCGAGGGAGCTTAAACAAACCCTCATTCCCCTATTGTTCGTGTTAATTGGGAAAGGACCACCATTCGCATGAAGGCGAAAACGAAATTCGCTCAATGTTTATACACGACGAAAAAATTCGCCTTCGTGCGAATGAACCAAAGAGAATACCCCGAATATTGCTGAGCGCGGCGTTCAACAACAAACCAACCAACCAAGCGTCACGCAATCCCGCCTATTTCCTGCTGTGTTTCATCACATGAAACAATAATTAATACGATGCCTTTCAAAGCAAGACGATATAATCCCGTCCACCAATTCCGTGGCAGACTCTTTTGTTTTGACATTGTCAAATTATTTGTGCATCCTACTCTCAACTTCTACGTCTCAGCTTGTAAAATGCCACTCAAACAAGTCATTCTACTCTAGTTGGCTTGTTTTAACATGCATATTCTTGTCGGGCTATCTCGAACAAACAGGGTGGTGTGCAAACAGAGTTGTAGCCGGTATCAGTGGTTGGTTGGATTGGCGTTTGTTTTATACGTTTTCAGGAAGTTGATAAACACTTTCCTCGTTCCTGTTACTTAAATATGCACAGTATAGTCCGTTCTATGACTTGCAGCATAGTGAAAAGCGTGAGATAATGTGCGACATTTGTCAATGCGAAACATATGTTATATTTGGGATTACACTTTCTTAGAAAAGTACATATTTTTATTACTTTGGTCGAGTTCTATCCAGGACCACCTAATCGCCAGACTCAACCCAACAAAAGTACTAGAATCTGTACTTTAATAAGAAAGTGTAATCCCAAATATAACATATGTCAATGCGTCTGTGTGTGCTAACAATTTCAGCAAGTATTTGTGAGGAACGAATAGACTTTAATATATTGAAATAAAGTATACGGACCCGAATTCCAAATAAGGAGAACAAGGTTAAAATTTGTATCAACTGTTATTTGATAGGTCACTCAGATGCACTATCTGCTTATGATAAAATGATAATCTGGTGCAATTCAATAATTGCATAAAAGACTTCACAGAATATTTGAACGTCCACAATGTTTCGTTGTTGTTGTTGTTGTTGTTGTTGTTGTTGTTGTTGCTGTTCAATATATACATTTCTTGTCCAACCGGACATATACTGTGCTCCCTTAACTAAGCTTGTACTTTAAGTAATGTATTCATCAGATGTGTTAGCAGGGATTTCTTCTACGATACATTAATTTCGAAGAAATTACGCTAGAGCAATATCGACCAGAGGCACTAATATCATGTTCTGTGTTTCTTTTCATGGTGATGCTGGGGCCAATGAGACTTGGATAAGAAAGCAAACGTCGGAATGGTCAATGTCGTTCTTGATGTAAAATCCTTGTACGCCCAAACGACCTTGCGCAAAATACGAAATAAGATATGATGGTATTTTTAGAAAGCAGTATCCTTGTTTCATAGAGAGCTGTTGACTTGGCCCTCTCATCGCCCATATGCATATCACATGTACGATGCCTATTGTTTGTCCTTTTGTCTATTCTTGGTGTTTTGATTGGCATTTTTATAATCAAAAGATAGTTTTACTGGTGAGGGAGATTCACTTTCAGGGCATTCATATAGAAATAGTTGTCACGAGTATATAATTGACAAAACTATACGAGTAATATAAGTGTATGAGTATGGTTTTACGCCACTGTTTACAATATTCCAGCAATGTCACGGCGGAGGACACTAGAAATCGGCTTCACATACGGCATCCGTGTGGGGAATCGAACCAGGGCCTTCGGTGTGACGAGAGGACGCACAAACCACTAGGCTGCTCCATCGCCCCCGAACCTATACGAAGGTGACGCTTACATGTTTCTCTCAAAAATTAAGCCATGTATGCAGGTATTAGTAAATTATTAGGGCTGGCTATAGATATAGATAAAAGAGATCGATAGTCGTTAGCTAAATATCAATAGATTATCAAAAACATATCTGAGATATTTAAATAACCATACTGCTAAACAAGAGTGAAAGAAAGTAAAATATTTCACATCACTTTTGAATGATGGCATGTTTTGCCTGGATTTTGACAAAAAGAAGACCATGCATACAAACTTGACCTTGTATGTTATGTGAGTAAATTAAAGCTTATTTCTATCACAAAGGTTAACGTACGATATTATCGACTACACAAATTTCATATCGATAATTATTATCCATTTCCTATCGACGATATTTTCGATTATCGATAGCTTTAGCCAGCCCTAACTTGAACAAACTCATTTGTTCGGTAATAGCGGCAAGTTCGGTAATGCCCCACACCCCTCAGTCCGTTATTTAACTTCCAATTACACCAGGAAGTAAATCAGTAATTTCGAACTACCGTTTCGCCAACATAAAGAGAGTACATAACACCTTTGTTTCAGTCTCTGACAGTCTTGCATCCGAAATCGCTTTTAGACGAGATAAACCAACACTTACCTTGAGA